AAAAATTCAATGCAGAAACATGAATAAAATTGTATTTTGATAATTATAGTTACATGAATTAAAACGATTGTTGATAATTTTAATTCGGCGCTAACGTCGAGCGGATTCTTGCAGAAAGTAAATTTTTAAATCTGGCAACATGATAGTCTAGTGATTGTAACACAATATTCCGTCCGACCGCAGCGCCGAATAAAAATTATCAACAGTCAATTTGATTCATGTATAAATGCAACAATCAATACAATTCATTTTTACTTTCTATTGGTATTTTGTAAAAATGAATTGTTTTGACTGTTGCATTTAGGTGATACATGAATTAAATTAATTGTTCATAGTTTTTATTCGCTGCGGTCGAACGAATTATTACCGAACTATGACCAACACCATACATATATGCAGTTGAGTAGTTCCACGAAAATACGCTTGGCGTCAGCGCCGAATAAAAATTATCAACAATCAATTTAATTCATGTATCACTGAAATTCAACAAACAAAATAATTCAGCTCATTTCAAATGAATATTAATGAAAAGTAAAACTGCGTGGCACGCCGTTTTACTTTCTATTGGTATTTTGTAAAAATGAATTGTTTTGATTGTTGCTTTTAGTTGATCCATGGATTAAATTGATAGTTGATAATTTTTATTCGGCGCTGACGTCGGACGTATTTATGAGAAACTACTCAACTGCATATATGTATGGCGTTGGTCATAGTTCGTATAAATTATTCACCAAATCAAACACATACCGGTGACTTACATTACAATTTTGATGTATTTCGTTAAAAAGACATGCCGCCCTTCGTCCTAACTTTCCAAATTATTATGCTATAAGTAAGAATCCGTTAGTATCAAAACTATTGTTTATTTCCAATAATTGTAGAATATTATCGAAACCAGAATAATCAACTCAATGAAGGTTTCTATTTCCGGTTGTTCGATTTCGTCAAGAAATCGAACAACCGGAGCAAATCTGGATTGCCGTTGACATCATCCAACAATTCCTGAAGGGTACTTATGCGACATTTTTGCAATTTTCAACATGTCTGGAATTAACTTCGCTGCCACACGCCTTATGTCTAAAATTTCTGCAATTATTTTATGGCTATAGCCAAACGATATGCAACATTCCCAGCACTTCTGTGAAAATATTTTAATCATTTTTATGACCCACAGTACAATCACCGTATGCCACTGTCAATATTTCAAGTGTTTTTGAGCACCTAATTCAATTTTTCACAAAAAATTTCATGCAACTGTTCGGTATATTTTGAAAAAAAAAATAGATCCTGTTACAAAGTTGTATTACTGAAAAACCGATCATTCCACTGATATTAAACCTAATGGATTGGAAAATTCACTGCAATTATCAAACAATTGAAATTTGCGAAGGGATTTCGACAAACTACAGCTGCCTTGATCTCCAAAATTCACCTCAACACACTTTGAAATCTTCCATTCGAATGACAACGTCGTTATTTTAAAAATAAATATAATTCACATCGATTCAAATCTAAAGCCATGTATGTGCAGTTTTTGAAAACAATACATGCAATCGATTCATCGTAAAATACCTTGGAGACTTCCGGGATATTTCAGGTAAAAAAATGCGGAAGTGCCATTCATGCCTCATGCGAGATTATCTAATTTCCTTTTAATGCCAAAGGTGAAGTAGACAAGATGGAGAAAAATAAACTATTGATACAGTTTATTGTATGATTTTCACTACAAAGGGTTTCACAAAAACCGTGACACGTGTTTCGCTATATAATAGCTTCTTTAAGCAATGACAGTTTATGCTTGAAAAAGCTGAAAGTGTATGCTTGAAGAAGCTATTGTATAGCAAAACACGTGTCACGGTTTTTGTAAAACCCTTCATAGTGAAAATCATGCAATAAACTGTATCAATAGTTTTTCAATGTGGATTTTCATCAAGTATCGGCCAGTTCTATTAAATCATTCAAGGTGGAGGAATGAGGAATATGCATACGAGGTTCCTTTCAGAGTTATCAAACGTTTCCATCGTATTTTGTTGAATGAGTATTTTTTGGGATGTGATACCTTTTCTTCGTTTCGTTTGTCCTGCAAGAATTGGACTGTTTCTGTTTCTTTTTTTTTTCTTTCACAGGTTGATTAGTACTGATTTCTTTTTTTTTTTTCTTCTTCCGTATGGGTGTAGAATTCACTTTCAGATTCGTGGTCGGGGTTTTCCGAATCTTTCACTATGTAAAGCTTATTTCAATTTCTGATTCGAAACCTCGAATTTATGCTTGTTTTGCTTTCGTTCAGCTGCCTTTAAATGTCTGACAAGAATTTTCTGTTTCCCACGATCTTCTGGACACATTCACAATAGAAATATTTGTATTTTTATAATATTTTTTAATATGACCTGCTCGTTTAAAAAAGAAACAAGACAGTATCAATACTCCTTCGTTCTGGTCGTTTTTTCCAATTTCGTGTACGTTGTTTATATCTGATCTTTCAATATTCAATCCCAGTAGAAAATAAAGTTTTGATAACATTTGTTCTAGTGAATTTTTTAGTTCCCGTTTTAATCCCAATACAATTATGTTATTTTTCCTCAGTTGTCTCTCCAGTGCAATATTTTTCTCTTGAAGAACAATAATCTTATTCACCGTTTCCATTATTTTCTTTTTCCTTTGTTTTGTTGTCTTGTTGTCATTGTAATTAGATTTTATAGACAACTATTGTATTAACCCTGTATTAACACCTATACGATACCAATGTGGTATTCGATGAGTTTCACTTGTCTTCACTATTCATTTACTATTTCAATATTGTATTTTTCAATGTACGTTACTTTTGTAGTGTAACTAGTACCTATTGTTATCAACCCCACATTCACTTTTTTGGTATTTGATTTTTGCCAGAAACACTCAAAATCACACAATATCATTGACGTGCTGCTTTCAATACGGCTAAGTCTGTGTGTAACAACATTAAGGGATGTTGTGATCGACGAGGGGATTGAACAGAAACACGACGACATATACATTGAAATAAGTGAAAATATAACTATCACAACAATAATGAAGAAAGAAGAAGATATCCAAGAAGTGATGGAAACAAGAGACGGTAGTAGAAGGTAGAAACACCAAGCACGGGGAAAGAAAGTTCAAGCTCAGAGGTAGAGGACTTTCAGGATTCATCTGTGTTACAGGCTAAGCCTGAGCCAGAGGTCGACTCTACAGAAGTTGGGTGCTGAGTCTGCTACAGGGTCTGCAATTTTTTCAGACTTACCCTTGGAACGTAAACGTCCAGTATCGGTAATTAGTGAATTGGGTGAGAATTATCTCTTTATGATGTAATGAACAGGCATGAGTATGAACAGTAGAAAAGATGAGGCATTTGATGCTTGGTTGCCTTATCAGCTATTGACTGGCTGTGTCATATACATATCGGTACTTACTTACACGTCCTGATATTGTATTTTCTGTTAATTTCTTGAAACGGTTTAATAACTGCCTCAATGATAAACACTAGTCCTATGCTAAGAGGGTTCTGAAATACTTGAAGATCAAATCATATTGCTTAAGGTTTTCTACTGATGGCAATGATAAGTTGGCCGCAGATCTCATACTAGATATTTCTTAAGGCTATCAAACTGTAATATATGTTAGGAAACAAAAAAATAGGCAAGTGTTTGGGAAATGAAGTTTTTGGCTTTCTACTTCTCCATCTTGATACAAAAAAATGTGGGAATCTTTTTTTAAAATTGATTGCTCCCTTCCTTTCTTTGGAAGATTCCCACATTATTTTGTATGAAAATGGAGTAGTAGAAAGTCATCCACTTTCTTTACCAAAATTTAATCACTTATGCAAATATAACTGTTTCATTTTACTGCATGTATTGTATCAAGCACAGAAGCTGAATATAAGGGCATATTGGACTGCTGCAATGAAGCTGTATATTCAGAAAAGTTATTGTTGGAAATTACAAAAGAATCATATTCAATACTGATATTTTTAACTATAACCAATGTGCCCATAAGTTAGCAGCTACTTTTTTGTTCCACAAAAGATTCAAGTTCATACAGCAGTTCGATATCATTCTTGTAGAGAGAAATTTGCTAATGATATTGTGAAAATTTTATATTTATCTGCCACGGAAATGCCAGTAGATCTGCTGAGTGAAAGATAGCGTGAAAATAAACAGTATCAGTTTTTGAGAATGTTTTGTTTATTCAATAATCTATGATAGTTAAGTCAAATGTCACTTATTTTATTATTTGGAAATGTTGTAATGTGATATTGAATTATAACAAAATAAACATGTAGCCACCATCTATTGTCGCCACAGTGCAAACTATATTCGGCCCACTATGTATAGTCGATTAATAAAGTTAGCAGTCTCTACCAATCATGCTGCTGTTTCATTTTAAAAACCCTATATCATGAATGGAATATTTTCTCAACAGGAACTTCTTCGAACTAGAAGACCATTTTATTACATCAACTACCAACAAGCGCGTTCTTCTGGCACATTGAAAAGTCGCCAGGAACAAGAATTGGTGTTACAGCAACAAACTATTAGGAAGGAAGCAGACGTAGTTTTTGCCCGACTGAGAGTTGCTTTTGAAAAACGAAATTTACTGAAAATGTTGGATTTGGCAGAAAAACTGAGACACTATTGTGAGATCCAGCCCCATAGACTATTTCCGGATAAGGAAGAATATATGGAGCAAGTATATAAAATGATCAGGTAAGTAATGAATTTTCAGTTGTCATGACATTCTATACAATAAAGAACCATCAGGAAATTTATGGAGAATTCAACATTGCGTTCATGAATATTGGACCTAATGTATCAGCATGAAAGAATATAAAATGAAATTGAAAGAATCCTTACATGTAAAAGGAAGGTTTGACTTTTTTCTTCTCCATCTTTATACAAAAAATGTGGGAATATTCCAAAGAAAGGAAGGAAGCAATCAATTTCAAAATGGTAACTCCATGTGTATATCACATCAGACACAAACTGAAAAAAAGCTTTTTCGAAACAGCTGCTTTCATATAAACATTGAATTACACGAAAGAAAAATACTCTCGAAGCGAATACTTTTATTTAAACACTGCATTATACAAATAAAAAACGTGTGCATCTCTGGACGCCCGTCAGAAGTGATAACTTAAACTGATCTAAGTTGAACTATTCAATATTGACATTGTTCAACTTGAGACAAGCTCAGGTTACTACTTAAATTGTACGTATTTTAATATGATAATGTGAGGAAATATCATTTATTAAGATAATCTTCTATTGATTATTTTGTGTATGTACATATATTATAGCTAGCATAAGCCAATTGTTAATTTTATAGGATTGAATAATGATGCTAATAAAGTACATTCACAAAATTAGTATCATCATTTATAAGCCACGTTTCACATAATTAAAGAATGTTACGTGCTTGCTGGTTGGATTTTTATAATGTTTGTTATTGATAAATCGTATTATATTACATTATTGAAATTATCTTTCGTTAGGAGATTCTGTAATGTTCCGAGGATCATCTTCTGCTTGTTCCATCAATTTTTTTATAATATCTTACTGATGCGTTGTTGGTTTAACCCAGTGGTCGCCAACCTCTTCAATGTGTTGAGCTACTTTGTTAATTTTGGAATAAACAGCGAGCTACACACACGGAAGCCACGTAACGCAACGTAAATGAAATAATCCACAGTTAATTTATCATTATATGTATTTATTTTACTATTCAACTGGTAATACATAATACATAGGTACTAATAATAAACTAATAACAAAATATCTAATATTACTAGTACGTACTTGTTCATAGCTACATTCCTACCTATCAAACGAAGGTGTTTGAAAAATATATGTTTAATATTATGACAATTATATTTTTTGTGGAATTTTCGGAAGCTTCTCTGATTTTTGCAGTTTGTATTTTTTAAATCAAAATCGTTGTGAGAGCTACCAGAATTGCCTCCGCGAGCTACCGGTAGCTCGCGATCGACAGGTTGGCAACCACTGGTTTAACCTATATAAGCTCACTGTCAAGAGTGTATGTCGATCGCACACTGAACACTGAGTCATGCAAAGAATTCAAAATATAGCTAGCGCTGTGGATAAGAATGAGGAGAAAGGAAAGCCAGACAGACTGGCAGCGTTACACGTTACGTAACACTTTTCTAGATTCAGTTAGTATTCCAAACATTCGTTATGGAATTGAATCATATATCATTCACAGGATCGCTACACAATATAGTAAAAGGAAGAGGTTACATTTTAATTTGAAATCAACTGATTAATATAAGTATGTTAGATCTGAGAAAATTTCCGGCCTTTGACAACATTAGCGAGAAAATCACTCATTGAAATAAAAACTTTGAACATTATTGAGTGAATTTTAATAAATTTATTGACTGATGAATCAAAACTGCCAAAGCTGAACCTATCTTCAAATCCGGAAAGAAAGAGTCATGATAGATTATAGACCAATTTCGATTTCATCTAGAATAATTGAAAAAGCAATGAATTCTGGAATATTTTAATAAGTGAAGAAATTTAATTCATGGACAATATGAATTTCGAAAATCTAGTGACACAGAGTCAGTGAATATTGTTACTCAATTTCAACTCAACCGGGATTCATACAAACTATCAATAAATCTCCGAAAAGAATTTGATACTGTTAATCACTGAATTATTTAAGGAATCAAGGGATTTGTGTACACTTGGTTTCATATTGATTTGAAATATAAAAAACAGTATGTTCGTATTAGCGAAAAAATTGGTCTCTCTGAGAGTTTTTTATGTGGTGTTCCTCAGGGATATATCTCTGGTCCAGTTCTTCCTGTGATCTACAGAAAGTTTTTATCCATTCAAGATTTGCGGGAGAAAATCAAAATGTTTGCTGATTATTCATCTATGAGACAGTCAAGAAACCAAAATTGTTAAATACTCTTTGATGAAAATACTTCAAATTCATGCAATAACTTATCGGGGTGAACTAAAAAGTTTGCTCTATCACACGTTACAGCCACAAATCCAATACATTTACAAACTAAGATAAACCTACCAATTAGTTCTGGGAAGTCCTAGAAGGACGACCAAAATGATGAGCAATCTTTTAGCATAATGAGAGCATCAAATACGAAAGAAGATACAGAAACAACAGCTTGTGACATTGTATTGAGTGATTGCAGTATGTTGAATTAGTCAACTATCCAGTATTGTTTCCAATCTGTGGTAGTTGTGATTGATGAATGTTTTCAATCCTATTTTCAATTTAGTATAACTTCTGATACATTTTAATGACGGCGGTAAAGAATCGTAGAGTTTTGGTCCAATGTATGTAATATATTTTCGATTGTGAGTACGTCGGCATCGTGGAACCTTTGCAATATGAGAAGTGTGTTAACGAGTATTATATATATATTCTGAAGAAATGTACTCTGGCTGTCCATAATATTCAACAGAAAGTATACAGTTTTCTTACACTATACACTCACACTTACTTCATATAATGTTTGAGTATTATAGCATTTATTCTTTCTGAACAGTCTGAAACAGTCATCAAGAGTCAGGCAAGTGAATGACTTTCAAAGTGTTCAATTGTTTTCAGAGTGTTAAATGTGAGTCAGATATGTTATGAAATGTGAAAAATAAAACATCTCTCGCTACAGGTAACATTAAATAAATTTAAAAAATAACTATTTAAACGACAATCTTTATTTTGTATCAGAGTGGTTAAAGAAGGTAAGCAATTAACGGAGAAGTAAAATTTTCCTCCTCAAGAAATTAACGGCCTAGAAAAGCACCAGTAACTGATATTCTCGAGTATGAATATTTCGATATTAGATTACGACTTTCGTAGGATGGAAGGGTGTCGTTTCATGGTAAAAAAATTCCAACACAAAATCAATGACGTTCTGGGAATTGTGGCTTCCGAAATATCTCTTCGTAGGATTTTAAAGAAAATAGGAGGACTTAAAATAACTAACAAAATTCAATTTTAGTAGCCAACTGCGTCAAATTGAGTTTTTTGATGAAACGAAAGGGTTTTTGGAAATATCGCGTAGGGACCAAGCCTTTTGTCCATGCTTATATTCAAATCAGGCACAATATCGGCGGATCATCCTTCAGAAATGAATTCTAAAAATTATAATAAATGGTTACAAATTTTTTTGTAAATTCGGTAGTCGTGACCGATAATGCTCCATACCACAATATTCGAAATAATCTAGCCCCCAGCACAAATTCTAGGACAGCTGCACGAGAAAAGCATTGTATGGTACACCTAACATGCTCAAATCCAAATTATACTAATTGATCAAAGTGAATGAAAAGAACCATATTAGATACTAATTTGATAGAGTTCTGCTTGAACACGGACTTCCACCCTACCATTTGAATCCCACTACTGTCAAAAACAACGTGTCCCAAAAAAACGCGTTTTGGTGTGAAAATCTGCACTCTCATTCATTTAGTAAAAAGCAACTCACGACATTCATGGAGATATTTTTCTTTAGAGGTGGTTGACAATGTTTCACGGTGAATTTCATTAGTTCGGACTTCCATTATCTAAGTCAAATGTGAAAATGGTTGTAAATAAGAAAGATAATTCAAAAGTGTGAAAAGCCACATGTTACACTTCTCGAAAAACCTCATTTATCTCCTATACATACAAACTGCTTTCTGTCTGTATTTCTATTCAAATAATTATTGAATCATGAGTTGAGCCTCTAATCCCAATGTCAAATAATGTGTGTAATGAAATTTTATGATTGACAGTATCAAAACATTTTGATAGATCCATTGATAATAGTACACAATATTGGTTATTAAATCTAATACGACAAATTCTGTATCAGTTGATTTTCGAAAACCATATTGACAACTGTACAGAAAATATATGCAGGTGATCTTGTACTCTAAAGATATAATCAATGCATAACTATGAAATTGAAAATAGGTATACTGAGAAGTCTCAATTTGGTGATTTAATGCACCCATATATTTTGTTAAAAACATTATGTTTTTTTTAGGACAGGATACTTTATGATGAGCCGACTGAATCCTTCTCAACTTGAATATGATCAGGATAAGAGAATTTTAGTGGCGCTTGGATTGCCGATCAGCAGAGAACCCTCATCTGATTCTGTCATTCAACAATTCAAGAATGTCTTCGTTGATCACAAGTAAGCGAATTTTTCATTTTCCAATCCAATGTTCATAGAAGATATTTTTGGAAAATGAGATTTTCAATGTTAACACAATTATTAGTGAAGACATTCGTAATATACACAGAAAAAAATCCGGTGTGATTATAGGTACAACATTATATCTAAAGACGTAAGGAAATAATAAAATATTTGTTCGGTGTCAAACGGGCGGGAGTAAATTGTCAATTCTCAAAAAAATAAATATCTTTTCTTGAGATGAACAATGAATATTACTGGAGTTTTTTCCCAACACCAAATCATTATTTTTAATACCTCGACACGTGTTTCGATCACCAAGTGATCATCTTCAAAGAGGTTGAGATGAACAACTTATTCTCAAATTCTTCTTATTCAGGTTCATAACCTTTCAAAGAAATTCCGATTGGTGTTGAGAGTAAATCGCTAATCAAGGGTACCTATATCATACGTCATCATGTGAATATTACTGACACGCCCCTTTTTTCCTACAGTATAACTCTCAATACGATACTCATATGAATAGTTTTATGATATACCTACTACAAAAATGAATAAAATGCATGCTCCATCTCCATGTTCCAGCAAAAATTTTGAGGTTAGGGTACCTGCATTCCCTCCTATCTTCAATAATAACAAAGTTGGCCTCCTATGTCTTTTAGACTCCTGAAAAATGTTTAAATATGTTTCTTGACATCGATACGAATCCATTGGTGTCAACATCGAAGTGGGACGTCCAAAAATGACCATTTTATTGTAGATTTGGACTCTCCTTGATATATTCATTACCTTCTGTATCCATTTGAGTTTCTAGCTCGTGAGTTATAAGAGGATCGATATTCTTTTCAAGCATTTCAAAGTACAGATTGCCAGTTATAATGGATTAATATTGGCATTCCTATGGAACGCCGTTTTACTTTTCATTGTCACAAATATTCATTCCTCAATTTATTCAACTAACAATTTATTTGTTTGAATTCAATTGNTCTATATTATGTACTGAAAGGAAGGTATTGAGGGTGGGAAGTTTTCAAATTGACATCCTATGACATGATTCACTGAGAATTGTTCTGTGGTGATATTTTTCAGTCTATCTGAAGCTTCTTTTGATTTTTTTTTGTAGAATTATTCATTTCACATTATTTTTTGAAATATTCCATTTTCAAGTTGTGTTCAATTGTGTTTGCATTACTTTAAATATCTCGTTTTGTCAACTTTGTTAACTTTGAACTGGCAGATGTATTTTGAACTTCATACACTCATAAAGAATCGGTGACAATAGAATAATTTCATAAGTTCATCTCATTATTCTGATCAAAATCGCATGGATTGAATAATTTCCTCACACAGTGTCTGTGTACGAGCAAGTGAGACAACTACACTGTCTGTGCATGCGTATATATTTTATATCAAAACAAATGGGCTTGAAACAGCAAGTCAAACTAAAAAGTGGAAAATAATCAATAATTTAATAAACTAAAAAACACGATTTGATAGCAGTACAAACTTTAAAATGAGATATGATTCGAAATTAATTTGAGATTGTGTTCAGAAGTCATATGGCTTGATGTAACCATAGACCTTTGCCAATCTGGCAAACAGCCCCTAACCAAGTCTTTGATAACAATGGATATTTAGCTCCCCACGCTTTTTTACAACAAAATTAATTTTTTGGAAATATATTTCAGACTCATTAAAAGTCATTAGTAACATCAAGTCATAGGACTCATTATCAATGTTGAACTCAAATTAGTTTCGAATCATTTTTTATTTTTCAGTTGGTGTTGCTAATGAAGCGTGTTTTTCAGTTTTATAATTTATCAAATGTTCGATTTGAGTGAACTATTCATTGTCTGCCTTTATCGAGCTTACTAATAGTTGAGTAATATTTTCATTTACGAAGTACTAATTAATTTAATGAAGTTGTGAATTATTTTTATTCGTAGGAAAAGAATCCAAATCCTAGAACGACGCTTGAAATATGCCGAAGGCTCACAGGAACTCTGTTGGTGTTTCTATGAATTAGCACGATCTCAGATAGAACAAAAACGATGGGAACTGGCAAGAGTCTACAGTAGAAAATGTGTTCAGGAAGCGAATATAGCCTGCGATTGGGAATGGGCCATCAATGGAAACATGCTCCTGGCTAAGATAAATATTCAACAACACAACAGAAATGATGCTAGGGCAGAAATTGTTACAGCTCTCAGGACTGCCAAAATGATGAAGAACGATAACTTGAGAGAATATTTAGAAAAGGTGGGTACTATTAGTAAGTAAAGTTCTCCATTCATGTGGTAGACCATTCATCTTCTTACTAGGGCGAATATATTTTTTCACAGTGTGCGGCACCAAAAACGAATGAGATCGAATACTTTATTTCATCAGTTCGGACTTCCATTGTCTAATATAATATCAATTTATTTGAAATTCCTGGAGAAATATTAAAAAGATTAACTGAAAATAACCATAAAACCAAACAACCACCAAAAAAAAATAAAAATTGAAATATTGAAATATCTATTCAAAAAATAAATAGATAACTACTTTTTGATCATTCCCATATTGATTTCAATTTTAGAGCCACCAGTAGACAGCTGTTTCAGCCTATTGGGCATCGTCAGTACCGGGCAGGCGGCCCTGGATTGAAAACAAAATGAGAAAAACCAAGAAAGTACTTCATAAAATTAGCTGCGTAAACGCAAGCGAAACATAAGTGGAACCACCAATTGATGTGACACCCAAGTCAACTTGCCAAGTTTTCATGTCAGTGTTGGTGGTTTGACCAATCAACCGACAACTAGATAATATTTTTTCAGGAATTTCAAATATTATATTAGACAATGGAAGTCCGAACTGATGAAATACACCACGAAACATTGTCAACCACCTTCAAACAAACGTCGAATACTTTCATCTCAATGGGGAGAACATGCAAATACAGATCGATGTTTAATTCAAGGGGGGTATCTTTCTATTATCGCCCCAACTATTATTCCTCCCGAAAAAAAAAAAAAATGAATAGTGCATACTTTCAATTATTCCAAACAACATTGATTCTCCATGTGTATGACTCTTGAATACTTTCACCACCAACGCTGGTGTTCTCCAGGGATCCATATTGTTCCCAACCTTCTTTTTATTGTATATTAACGACTTATTGGAAAAAACCACGAATCCAATATATTGCTTTGCAAATGGCAACACACTTGTCTCGTCATTTCATTTGGATTCCAGGACATAAGTTACGGAGGCACATCTTCACCGGTTGCACTTCTTAATGATGATCTAGAATTGATTTCAAATTCAGGTAAAAGTAACTAGGTTCAATGCAATGACATGGAATCCCCAGGCATCGGTTTTCTCTAAGAAGATACATGTCTCCGAACCGGATATAATAATGTCAGGTCCGCTTTCTGCTTCCATAAGTTTGGGAGGGTTTAAATGGACACCAATATGTTTTGGCATATTCATGTCCTTGGAATTGCAAAAACTGCATCTCAAAAGCTTGGAACACTGTTTCTTACCAGAAAACTGTAAACACCTCAGCAACTTTTGATGATTTATAAAGCTCAGATCAGATCTTCTTTGGAGAATTTCCAGCGATTCAAATCCAATGTGAATCGATCCCAGAGCGCCTTAAAGATTTTCCTGTACTGCTTGCGTTTTGTCCTTGAAAAAATCAACTGCCATACAAGAATATGAGTTAGTTTCGAATCGTTGTCTGACATTTTGTTGCGTGCCTGAAGTTACTTGATTACATTGTTCTCTCCAGGAAGGGGTACCAAAATGAAAAGTAACGTAGTAATAGTGATATGAATGAATTTCATATAAAATTACTTTTTGATGGTGTATCACATTTGGTACTTTCTTCATTCAAATTCTGAGGGTAATGATTATCAAGAGGTGAGGTAAAGGATTTTCAGTTGAGATTATGATAGAGACATGTCTTTCTTGATATGAAAATCGATTTATTTTTACATGTTTTGTCCAACAATGTGTCTTGAAAATATTCTATCATTTTCGGAGCCTCATACTGAATAATGTAATGTTAAAATGAACACGAACAAAGTTGGTATTGATCAATGTCAATGACTAGTTTCAATTGAGTAATGTTTAACTATTTGTGAAAAGTAAAAGAACTTTTTTACTCAAAAAATTAGCAGTAATCGAAAGTGGAAGAAGAAGAATGTAATCATACAGTTGACTTTATAGGACATAAACCTACTGTGGTGAAAGTTCCATCAATATCTCATTGAGAATCTGATTGAACTCGGATTTTTTTTTCAGTGTTTGGCCGTAGTCGATAAAATCGAATTCGATGATGTGTTTGGACCTCAAGTACTAGAAAAACGTGAGAAGAGAATTCTACAGATGATGGGTAATGAAAAAATGAGAAATGAATTTGCGCATCTCTTCAGAATGATGGCGGCTATGCCTGCTTCACGAAGAATGACCGTCATTCCTGGCATCAGAGTGGAAACCGCGAAGAAGGTAATGCTAGTCACGTTTTTTTTTTAATAACAGAAAATTAGACTGACGACAATTCAGTGACATTGAGGTATGGTATTTTGGCTTTCAATTTTCCATATTCAACAGAAAACAGGAAACAGAAAACAACAGAAAAAAAAGCAATTCAAACTTGAATGAACTTTTTACAAACATGTGTAGATTATGCAAAGATAGATCCATGTCATGATTCAAAATTATTCTCATTTCGGAAAATCTTTAAATTTATTTTTTATCAAATGTTGATTTTCGCATAAGCCAAGTTGAAGTACATGGAACCATTTTTCATCAACAGACGAAAAACAGAGTTGGATTTAGTTTCTAAACAAGTCACAAGTCTAAACAAGTCACTAGAGGTTATTTGGGAAAAAGCTATACATTTATGAATTGTATGCAAAAGAATTCAATAATTCGTAATTTGTTACGATAACGGCAGATATTTTTGTGATAACTATTTGTTTCGATTATTTACAGCACAATACTACACGAATGTCCATAATGGGGTCTGGAGTTGGAAGGAAAGGTAGTTCTGTTGGTCATTCAATGAAAGCGAGTTTGAAGAAAGAGGATCCCAAAGGAGTTGGTTTCATGGAGCTTGTACAGTTTCATCTGTGAATACTGAATGAAATCCTCAAAATAAAAAATATCTCTGTAACCACTTTACTTATTCTGGCGATAAAAACTCCCCACACCTGTAGTTGAGTCAGTTTCACGCACTACAACATTTCAATTATTTTTGGCATGATTTTCTTGGAGGGAAAACGAAAGCGACTGCTTGATTCGTTATTGTTGATCATTTTTCACTTGAACAAAGCTCTTGTGTTTGCCGTAAGTTCTTATATTTGAACATGGCCTTTGATATTAATAATCATTCTCTCTCATTTCACCACTAGTATCAAAGGAACAGCTCTCGAAAATATGAAATCATATTCGAATAACTGAAAATAAAAAGTCTCTATTGAGATTATCAAAAGTTTTCTCCTGATCTGGCAGAAATTAAGGAAGGTATCATTATCACTGACCAAAAACTCCAAAAGATCCTAGGGATGTCTGCTAGATATTCATTTATTTCAAAAAAACATATGATTTCGATTTTATCTGATTCGACTGTCAAAAGTCTAGACATCTAGACGTCACTGGAAACAAAAAATATTTATCACAACAAACTTGAACAAAAGGGATTAAAAACTAGTAAATTCTTTTACATATCAATAGTTATCAGACATTGAAAATTTTTATTTTTTGGAACAAATAGATATATAAAAGGTGAAACTGGAACCTCTGGTATGAACTGTCAAAAGTCTAGACATCTAGACGTCACTGGAAACAAAAAATATTTATCAAAACAAACTTGAACAAAAGGGATTGAAATCTAGTAAATTCTTTCACATATTAATAGTTAACAGACATTGAAATTTTTTTGGAACAAATAGTTATATGAAAGGTGAAACTGGAACCTCTGGTATGAACTGAATTTGAAAACAGGCACTTTTTCAGTTACCAGAAATGTGATACTCTTCTCGACATGCGTTTCACCAATCAAGTTAGCGTCTTCAGAAACTGATTCCTAACTCTAAAACTCTCTTTTCATATATGTAATAGAGGTCACTTTCACTTTCCGATACTAATCAATGATTTCGGGTAGAAATTTCAGAAATTTTCTTGTGAAGGTTTTCGCAAATTCCAATGGAGTGCGATACAAATCAAAGATTTCGAGAAGAAATTTGGAGGAAACATTTTCGACAAAAATCCCGCGAATGTTTACAGATTAATTCACGAAAAAGATGTTTGCAATGTTACCCTTGTCACTTTTCATAGTTCACATGCCACATTTTGTTATTTCCAGAAGCATCCAAAATCTAATGTCGTATACCGATCTCAACAATTTCAGACAGTTTCCATTTACTCTCTAACCGTTCTCCAGACATGTTGAACGACAAATCCGTTGAGACAAAATAATTTGACGGAAAAAATGAAATATATATTCTGTTGAGTTTTGTGATTATATTTTGATCAAACTCTCTTTTTATTTGAGTTTTTCAACCTGTCTCACAAGAAAGTGATTTTTCCTTCTTGTTGGAAGATTACTCGCGTTCAACATATTCCCAAAAAAGGCAAGAAAATTCTGGTCAGTCGCTTTGCTTTCAGTGATATCCAAAATCATAAGGAGAGCCAAAAACCACCTTATTCTTCAATATTTGGAACGCTTTAACATCTTGAGCGATCATCAATATCCCTTTCGGAAACAAAGATCAACAGACGACCTTCTATCGTAAACCATCCATATTTGGATTAACGCAATCTAGAAATATGGAGAGTCAATACCTGTTGCGCTTAATACCGACCGTATGTCGCATGGGGGTTTGGTAGCCAAACTTCGATGCTATGGTGTGTCGGATCATTTTTGTGTATAGCTCTTCAGCTTCCTGAATGAACGTTCCCTGCAAGTTGCCGTCGATGGATATCTCTCGAATACTTTCACCATCAACGCTGGTGTTTCTCAAGGATCTGTATTGTCTCCAACCCTCTATTGTATTTCAAAGACTTATTGGAAAAAAAAACAAAAATCCAATATATTGCTTTGCTGACGACAGCACACTTGTCTCGTCATTTCATTTGGATTCCGGGACATCGGCTGTGGAAGCATATATTCACCGGCAGCAGGAGGTTACATATATTAATGAGGATCCAAAAGTGATTTCGAATTGGGGTGAAAATATCCAGCTTCGATAAGTTTGTAGGGGGTTAAAATAGACATCAATATGCCTAGGGAAAATTATGTCGCTGGAATTGCAAACGCCGCTTCTCAAAAGCTTGAAACACTGTTCCGAACTAGAAAACTGTACACACTTCATCAACTTTTGATGCTTCATAAATCTCAGATCAGAACTTCATTGGAATATTGTTCTCATGGATGGAGCTCCGCCCCTAAGCGTTCTCTGAAGCGGCTAGATTCCATCCAGAAAAGACTTGGCACATTTGATTCCACCAAGAGCGGTACATATCAGAAATACGTGACGGACTGTGACTTTGAGTTTCAACTCAATACACCTCACACTTCACTGTTTATGAACTCTTTCATTTGAAGAACTTCTGATTGCTACAATTGGTGCTAGACTTCTGAATTCTGTTTCTTTTCAATTTCCAAAATGAATTTATTCCTATGTATTGTTGGAGATGTTCCACAACTGTGTTTGTTATCTTGGATTCACAGAGAAGATTACTGGAAACCTTTTATATTTTTTTAAGAAAAATCCTCTAGGCGCTTTAAGAGCGGTGCCTGGGCGAAAGTAGTGATTCACATTGAATTTGAATCGCTGGAGATTGAATTCGTTTGGAAAAGCATTCTCCGGAAGTTTATTCCACACAAACACAGTTCTCCAAATGAAAGAGTTCTTGCGAGATGTACTGAGTTGAACCTCAAAGCGATGAGCAGCCACAGTCCGACGCGTATTTCTGATATGTACCGTTCTTGGTAGAATCAAATGTCACAAGTCACTTGAAAATATCCCGTGAAAGTATCTGTAGAAGAGAGACAAATCCCCAAAGTTTCTTCGATATTCCAGACTATCAAGGTTGCAAGTGATGTTCGCGTCTCCAATCAGGCGAATGCCTTTTTTCTGGAGAGCCATACACAAAAAATGATCTGATAAGCCATAGCATTGAAGTTTGGTCACCAAACCATCATGCCACACAAGGTCAAAGGCCTTAGAAATATCAACAGCTATTGACTCTTCATGTTTCTCGATTGCATTAATCTAAATATGGGTGACATACGATAGATGTTGAAGCCTTTCAAGTATTTGAGGATATAGTAGTTTACGGCGTTCTCCATGATTTTTGATATCACTGATAGCAAAGCCACTGGTTTGTAGTAATTTCAAAGATTTTTCCTGCCCTTTTTGGGAATAGGCTGAACGCTAGCTATCTTTCAACATGGAGACAAAACAAAAAACCCCTTTTCTGTAAGACAGGTTAAAAATTCTACAAAACACTGATGCGAGTTCATTTGCGCACTTTTTAAGTACGATGACGGACACTTTATGAGGACCAGACGCCTTGTTGATATTGAGCTCTTTCAAAAGTCGCCCGACTAGACGTTGTCGGAAAGTAATTTTCAGCATTGTGTATTCTAGTGTGGGAATAGTGGGTGTTGTCTTTCCCAGAAAATCTACTGTGTAAGTGGGACGCAAATTGTTCATCTAGTATATTTGTTTTTTCTATGGCTGTTGTTGCAATTGAATCATCTGCTTGTGTTAGTGGTGGATTTGTGGATTTTGTAAAATTTTGATCAACAACTTTAGCTACTGACCAGAAGGATCTAGACCTATTGGGATTGGCAAGCAGTGTGGAACAGAACTCAAGAAATTCGATCGTTGACTAATAAAAATCATTGGTTTCATGTTCCTGGTCACATGAATAAGCAGAAGAAAGGAAGTTAGCCTTTTTTTCAATATTGCAAAATATTTTTCGATATTTTATCAGTACTTCCCAAAGTACCGAATGATTGTCAATCAAATGGGCTATATTTTGAGATTTATATTTGATTGTCATCCAGACAATAAGAGAAGGGGTTTACTATCTATAGAAGAATTTTGAGAATGCAGAGTTTGCTTCGATGAAACTGATTCAGTTAGTCATTTGAGGGAATTGAAGATGGAATTATGTTTTCTTCATCTCTTTTTGAGGACGAAAATGGTATCATCAGAATCAAAATTCAGATAACTCAGAAAGATTATGTAAACGATTTTTCATATCCTATATCATTGCCCACAAAACATCCTTCATCTAAGAGGATCATCATGGATTTTCATTTGGAAGGATTCATGAAGGAATACAAACTCGCTCGACTACGAGAAAGGTTTTGGACCCCCAAAGGAAGAAAAATAATAAAGTGTATCATCAGAAAATGTTCAATTTGTGCAAAAAAATTCAATGCAAACCCTGAACCATTGCCTAAAGATAGAGTGGGAGAATAGAGTGGGATAGAGTGCAGAATTCGAGATTGTTGGAATATATTTGGCTACGTATATTCACTTGTGTGATATATCGTGCAGTTCATCTTGAAATAGTTTCAAATTTGTCAACTGAAATATTTTTGTTGGCACTACCCCGTTTCATAGCGAGAAGAGGAATACCCTCAGTGATTTACTTCGATAATGAAAAGAATTTTGTGGAAACCTATAGTTTACTCAAAAATGTTGACTGGACGACGATAGACGAAAAACATTCAGCAAATAAAGTGGATATGTATTCCCTCTCCTGTCTAATAATTTTATACGACTGTCAGATAATTTTTGGAAATCATACATTCAAATAGTTCATTTCCATTTCAATTCGAATATTTCAATAACATTCAAGTCACTCAAGAACCTTTGATACATATCAATACACCGGGTAGGTGTACCTGTGTGTTACACCCCCAAGCTTAATTTTAAGTGTTTAATAAGTGTATATTCAGAGAGAAACATTTTGCCGCATTCACATATGAATAATCCATCCTCGTTATGAATTACACAGCAAAAGGCGAAAGCAAAAATCTTTTTTATTAAAATGAACTATTTAGTTGCCTACATTTCATGAGTACCTCAACCCTAAGAGTAGAGTAGCAAAGTGACTTCAGACAGGCGCGCCCTCACGATCAAGCCGTGAGTAGGCGGTGGGGACGCTCACCCAGAAACATAGACTTCATTAAGAATGACTAAGTAATGTGCCTCCTGTCGCCAAGGCTTATGCACATCATTACATGGTTTCGATATTCAGGTCGCTCGAATGAAAACATAGCTGTCGATGTGTTGTTTAGCTAGATACTCCTGGAAAAAGTTCATGAAAAAACCACGACAAAATGTCTATAGAAAGTTTTCTATGCCAGTTTTTCATGAACTTACGAACGGTCATTCACATGTCGCTCATGAAAAATATCAAGGGCTTCATAAATTAACCCACCGTAATGGCGGGGTTGATTATGATAAACTCTCACTACCGTGATATTACCAGTCAGTGGACTGTCACGACCCTGCCTGAATCCAAACTGTTTCTCCAGAACAAGTTTCAGCCTTTTCTCCAAACGGAGAAGTCTGCTCAATAAGATCTTGTAAGCAATCTTAGCGACCAAGCTGAGTAGCAAAATGGGTCGGTAGCTCGCTCTCGGGTTCTTCAGTTTTCCCTATTTATGAATGGGTATTACCTCTGCGTGCTTCAGGCAGTCTGGGTGATGTTGCAATCTGATTATCCCGTTGATGATATGTACCATTTGCACGAGACCTTCGCGCGGCAGATTCCGGAGTAGAACTACTCCAATGCCATCGCTGGTAGGTGCCTTGTGTAGTGGCATGCATTTTATAGTGTCTTCACTTCCTCAAAGTCTGTGAGGATTGAGTGCACTCTCCTCGCCGTCCCGGTGATGGTTCTATGCTATTTGGTGCTGTCTGGCGTTGTTCGGTGAAAATTATGGAAATATTCGCCGAACATTCTGGCTTTCTGAACGTCGGTTACCCAACTTTCATTACCTGTCTCTATGGTAGGCATGGGATCGTATCTGTTGTCGAGACGTCGCGCCATCCTCCACAGAGATTTGCGCACTGAGCATTGGTGAACTCAGTTCATCATTGATTAACCATCTCCGCAAGTCAGAGCATGAGCTCTTTGCATTGAGGGTCTCTAGTATTTTGTCGTCTCCTGGCGTTTAGGTCTTCCACAAGGAGGACCTTATTGACTACATCTAGCAGACTGTCGAAAGTATAGCAATTCGATGGTGGATTGTACACAGCATACATGCTGATACCATCAGCGAGCCTTTGTTATGTTGTTATGAATTACACGGTTACGCTGATAGAGACAGAAAGCTTTACTGGAATATTCATTGCAGGGTTCGCATTTCCATTAGTGATTTTCTCAACATCGCCTTGTCCATTTGTGTCATGGACACTGTTGTTCATCTTTCGATCCGGGTCAAGTTTCGATAATAAATCACTGAAAAAAAATCATTGGATTGCTAAATTTTTAGACAGCGTTGAATGCTTAGTATTTCAAGTTATGAATTGGGTAGGTGACTTATTAAAGTACGAACCGAGACCGGTTCTTAACGGAAATATATCGTTTGATATTTTACTTTATTCTCTATTAATAATATTTTGTGAATATAATGAAAACAGTCAGGTAACATATATAAAAAAATAATTGGGAGTCAGTTCTAGTTTTCCAAAATTTTTCATTGGTTGAGAAATATGAAGTGTCTAAACTGTAACAATAGATATAGGTTCAGATGAGATAAAATGAAAACTACTGATGTAAGTTAGGTTAAAGTGTATAAAAACGTAATTTGGAGTTTATTCAATAATTACATGGTATTCTTCATTAACTGTTTGTTGAAGAGTAGATCAGTGGGCGCACACTACGTATTTTTGTAGTTGAGTAAGCATTTGAATCCTTTATGGATTTTACTGAAAATTCTGATTATTATTCATAGCTGAGAACTTGACAAAAAACTAATACGTCATTGCTTTCGAAAACTCGAAGTGTTGCTAAGAAAGTAATCATAGTATCAAGTTCCATCAACATGGAAATACGGTAAACCTGTGGTATGGAACTTCACTTGCATTGACACGGTCGCGGCTTCCCATCTTGCCGAGAGTTCGAAGTCTGCTGGAACTGCAGCATCGTCTTGCGAAAAATCAAAACGAAAAAAACACCAAAATTTTGGCAACAACTATCTGCTCCATCCAGTAGCGTTTGAAACTTTTGGATCTGTAGTCTCTCTTATTCGCTCATGAACTCGAAAGGAGAATAGGCTAAGACTAACATTCTACCTGTTTTTAGATAGAAAGAATTAGTTTTGCTATTCAACGTGGTAATGCTCCTTCCGGTTCTTGAAACTATTCCTCCTTCACATCATTTTGATGACATCATGCATTGCCTTCATTTCAGTAGGGAACTGAAATATCTTCGAAACAAGCCAAAATGTGTGTATATTCATCAGTCTCCTATCAAGGGTGATTTTTTCTTTTTCAGTACAGATAATGGACTTGGATCATTCTTGCCCCCCCAAATTTGAGCTGCAGTCATCGTGGTTCTGGTTACCTTTCAGTGAAAGAGCTTGATGAAGCAACAGCCGAATCGATCCCTCTACGAAACCCTTCCATCACTTGGAAGGATCGATTACAGCTTGAGAAATGGTTCTGATACAGATTCTGTGAAACATATTCTTTCTTACGAATCAGTAGGTGTCCTGAAAATCTCACGAAAAAAATTGGATCAGGTATTTTAGGAAACAATGATAGCATTTTACAAGTGTTGTTCATGACGAAGAATTTCAAGAACGAGGTTTTAACGATGAATGAGAACGAGAATGCTCCCTTCTTATTCACCAAACTCAAACAATTGTTCATGCTGTTGCAGTTTCGTAAGAAAGTATCACCTTTCCTACCAACCGATTTCCTGGAGTCTTTAAAGTTCACCAGATACTCGTTAAGACAACAAGATGATTGCTACGAATTCTTGGGGTTCTGGTTGAATACTTTTCTTGAGCAAAAAAGTTGCAAAATCGATACTCCTGACCGATATGAATTGAATGATTCCGTACAGTGTATTTCGTTTTGTATTTGTTGATCTTTTGCTGGAAAAATCCTCACTTGTTTACTTTGTAGTAAATGTTCAAAAGTTAGCAAAAACGTATGTGATGATTTGGAACTTCCACTTGCGTTTCCTAATATGACTGATAACCAGTACGTGCAAAGCTTATTGTTAAATATGTATAGCTGAGGCAACAGTCAATGATGATCTTCAAACATGACTCAACCTCTGACGGAAACAACAAAATCTAACAAAGGTTCGAAATAGATAAACACTTCAATCCATCAGACCACCATTTCAATTTTTATGCAGTCATTATTCACTGTGGTTGTGGCGTTGAATTCGGTCATTATTACGCATTGGTCGAAGACGAAACGGACTGGTTTGAGTTTGATGATAGTCGTGTCACTAATAAGTGTTCTAGCGATGTCTTGAATTTGTTGGAGCTTCTGGAGACACCCTACATTTTGTTTTATGAAAAAGAGGGCATCGGCAGATCAAGATCTTCAGGTGATGTGGTTCTACAGGTTTTTCCGGATTTTTCTGCAGCTGAAAAAGCAAATGCGCCACTGGAATCAATGAAGTCGCCCCGGAGCGCCAAATAATTTTTATTGTTGTTTCATAATTTCATGATTTGTATTACTTATACTAGTATCTAAATATATTGGTAAGGACCGTAGTACCGGCCACGAATAATAAATTCGTTGTCACCCGGTATATATGTATATCAACATGTATTGAGTATTGTGAAATTAGTAAGATGAATGGGATTATCATCAGTATTAATATTATACCTTTTTTTGGTATGCCATGACTAGCCTATTACTGGATGCAAAACTAATTACACTCAACCATACCGAATTTACTATATTTTTGTACTTCTGAATTGAGTATTTGCAACAAGTCCAATTAGACCGCAACAGGAATCGTAATAATAGTGTCACAGTCACAGCGGTTATTTTTGCAGTTTCGCATGGGTCGATACAAAAGGAGTCTGCGCGGTTGATGCTTCTTCAGGCGAAGAACCTCTTTGCTCATTGAAGACATTATTCTGTTTAAACAGAAACGTAGGTGAAAAATAAACACAATACTCTCACTCCCCTTGATTTGTGAAATGTCTCAACGTGAAGTGATCAGTTAAATTTTCGTCGCTTGAAATTGATAGGTAGGTGTGATCAATTTTATAACAATAGAGTAGATGGATGAAATAAGGTAATATTTTTTCAATCACATAACTCGAAACCTAGCTGTGAGAACAGAGAGAGAGAGAGAGAACACTTGAAGTTGATAATTTTATTTTTCACCTAGTCTGCGATCCCGCAGGATAGGGAATTCTCAATATTTTGGAGATACCGAAGTGAGTTATTTGAAAAAGTCGATTTCAACGCAAAATTGTTTTTTTTTTGAATATTCATATTTATTTATTGATTTACTATCAAATTCAACTCCCAGATCGCGAATAAAAGTTTTTCTTTTAAGAGCTATATTATTCAATTCATATTCAAAGAATTTTGGACGTAATGATTTGACACTTATTAATGTTTACCTCTAACAAATTATTTCTTGACCGCATGGAAAAGGCTTAGAAGATCTTTTTGAACTAATTCAGTATCTTTCCATCAAGTAATTTCTCGATAAAGTCCGATTTTCAATCAATGACTCTGAATAACAAAGCATGAAAATAACGAATTCATTATAATATAAAAATAAGAATGAAAAACCTAATATACATAATGAAGAAATTCAAATTTTAATTATTACTGAAAAGCTACAGAGACATCGGTCGGTCGGGTAAATGACAATTAATAAAGCAAATACAACGATTCAACAGGAAACACTATTATGGAAGTCAGTTCAAAATATTGACTCTCTCAACTGACCTGCCCTCAATTTTGATACATGTTTCAATTCGTCTTACATTATTATTGGCCACTCTCCTAAGTTCTGGAATACGGTTCTGTCATCTGATACCCATATTGAGGTATTAGTTGTAAAAAATATGTATTCCGTCATTTTGTAGCTGCGATCATCTTGAATTTGCATCTTTTTTAAAGTGTACTACCATTCTATTATTCAAACCGTCTCATTTCATACCTATATTGAGGTAGTTGTGAAAAAATATGTTATCCGCCATTTTTTCAATCGGATAGCAAGTTACAAAATTTTTCGTCAGCATTTCAATTCAAATTTTTTTCCAAAGGCAATTTGGAGTAACTAATTGAAGGATTCATTCATAACATACACTTTTCAAGTTGAAATACTGTTAATAATGACAATGATGATAATGAGATGAATAATATTTTCCTTTACAGTTCTATAAAACGAGATGTCTTCTCGAATATGCAGTTGTTTTGTAATAAGCTTTTCTTTTTGGGTGATGGCTGCTGCTGTTGATCCAACTGAGAATGAAATTGAAAATCACCTACAGAGTCAACCTGTAAATCCAAAGTCACCAGCCAGCATTTTACATGGTGAGTGTGAGGTTTATTACATTGAAACTTGTTTGTTTGAAGGTGGTTGACAATGTTTCGTGGTGTATTTTATCAGTTCGGACTTCCATTGTCTAATATAATATANATCTGTGGCACCCCCGGAAACCGGAGGCACAAGGTCACCCCTTTGTTTAATATGGATGATCTTGAACTTTATGTCTTTGAAGAAAAGGATCCCCATCAGTCTTCGAGGATGGTGCATGCTATCGGTATGGAATTCGGGATAGACAAACCTGCAACGGTCCATTTCGAATAAGCACAATGCAGGGACTATGGAGAGGATGTGCTAATCGTAGATGGAAGTATCCTGCACCATTTGAATGTCGAAGAAATGTATAATTATTTCGGAGTAGAACAACGCCACTCACAAGAGGTAACAGCAGTGAAGAATTCTCTCCACGGTAAGTACACCAGAGGAAGACGACATTTGTCGGGTAGTTTTCAGCTACTGGCGAGGCGAATAATGTCTGAAAGGATGAGATAAAACGGATTTTCTCTTCGAACTACGCAGACTGTATCCAAACCACTCTGACAAGATGGTTGTTCTGATTATTGGTTATGATGCACTGTTTGGAACCTTTGGTGTAGGAATGAATATTGGTGTAGGAATGAGTTTTTCTCCACACCAAATCGTTATTTTCAACACCTCGACACGTGTTTCGATCACCAAGTGATCATCTTCAAAGAGGAAGATTAAAACTAAGAACTAGTGGGAGCTAATCCTATTTATGCTATAAAGGTAACCCATACAGGTAAACCATCCAGACGTACCAACCATACAGGTATACCAACCTAAATTAATTTTACAATTTTGCCTTATCTATTATTTTACAATATATGTTTATATAAAACAATTTTCAGCTATATAAAAATCAATTTCACAATATTGCCTATCCAAATTTATTTTTGCAATGTGTCCTCGATGGAATGATGCTCTGCTGTCGAATCCCAAAATCATGCCGGCTTGTCGCACTAAGGCAGAAATGCAGAAGTCTGTCATTTCCCGATAGTGGGGAGTCATCGTTGGTTGGTAATGCTGGCACACCCTCCTGAATATATCGTGGCTTCGGGGCATAGCTCCTAACTAACGCATATTGAGGTTGGAATAATAGTAATGATTATCTTTATTGGACGAAATATAAAATAACAGCCTGAAGGCGAAGTTTCAAACTTCCGAATAGAGCACTACAAGTTTGTTCTGTCACTTATCCTCCAAAGCCAGTTATGAGAAATGGCAACAAAAATATAAAGAAAAAAATATATGAAAGCAAATGAAAATCAGATGATCCTGATAGAAATCAGAATTTGGATATCAATAGGAAAATAATTTTTACACATTCTAGATTATGACACTTCTTTAATGTTCCAAAGTTTCAAATTTCTGCCACTGACCAGGAGTCCGTCAACCCCGTCCGTTAGGCCACATTGGCTTCCCGGATAGGACCTACAGTCCCCTGGCCGTTCCCCTATCCACCACCTGGGGACGCGCCCGATAGGTAGCCCAACCCACGGGTATTTTTGAAATAATTCCTAGTCTATGGGATTTACGAAAAAAAAAAATCATCAACTTTTTCATTTGTCTTTTGAATACAAACAAAAAAGGTACTTGAAGATATCCCGTTGTCGAAGCTTTTCTGAGTTGACTACATTTTTGCATTTTGAGGCATTAGTTTCTGTATTTTACGAAAGAAACTATGGTATTGCCATTATCCATTACGCTCAGGAATACTCCAGGGTATAACTGTGGCACCACCGGAAACCGGAGGCACAAGGTAACCCCTTTGTTTAATATGGATGATCTTGAACTTTATGTCTTTGAAGAAAAGGATCCCCATCAGTCTTCGAGGATGGTGCATGCTATCGGTATGGAATTCGGGATAGACAAACCTGCAACAGTCTATTTCGAATAAGCACAATGCAGGGACTATGGAGAGGATGTGCTAATCGTAGATGGAAGTATCCTACACCATTTGAATGTCGGAGAAATGTATAATTATTTCGGGGTGGAACAACGCCACTCACAAGAGGTAACAGCAGTAAAGAATTCTCTCCACGGTAAGTACACCAGAGGAAGACGACATTTGTCGGGTAGTTTTCAGCTACTGGCGAGGCGAATAATGTCTGCAAGGATGTGATAAAACGGATTTTCTCTTCGAACTACGCAGACTGTATCCAGACCACTCTGACAAGATGGTTGTTCTGATTATTGGTTATGATGCACTGTTTGGAACAGTGATGTAGAAATGAATATTACTAGAGTTTTTCTCCACACCAAATCGTTATTTTTAACACCTCGACACGTGTTTCGATCACCAAGTGATCATCTTCAAAGAGGAAGATTAAAACTAAGAACTAGTGCGAGCTAATCCTATTTATGCTATAAAGGTAACCCATTCAGGTAAACCATCCAAACGTACCAACCATACAGGTATACCAACCTAAATTAATTTTACAATTTTGCCTTATCTATTATTTTACAATATATGTTTATATAAAACAATTTTCAGCTATATAAGAATCAATTTTACAATATTGCCTATCCAAATTTATTTTTGCAATGTGTCCTCGGTGGAATGATGCTCTGCTGTCGAATCCCAAAATCATGCCGGCTTGTCGCACTAAGGCAGAAATGCAGAAGTCTGTCATTTCCCGATAGTGGGGAGTCATCGTTGGTTGGTAATGCTGGCACACCCTCCTGAATATAGCTCCTAACTAGCGCATATTGAGGTTGGAATAATAGTAATGATAATCTTTATTGGACGAAATATAA